CTCTATAACCTGATTCATAAATTTGGGTGTTCCACGGGTTAGTTAATCATCCCTTCCTTGACACCCAATGATTCTACTATTTGCTGTGCAAACAATTTCTTTGCAAGTTATACGACGATGCGTCTGGCAGCGACGATCTGTCTTAGAGGAATCATTGCATGGTATCCAATAGCATGTGCATGACACTGGCCATGGAAAAGAGAGATCAATTTTGCTCTACATACTGTCTCAACGTTGATTTGAAAATGCACAGAACGAAGAGATAGTGATCTTGCGACTCAATTAACATTGCACAGTTAAACCTTGGTTAACTTCAAATAGTATGCAAATAGGTCAGAATACGACATCACCTCATGGTATTTTATCAATAAACGTATTATATACATTATTGCATATAATTGTATCACATAATATTATATATACATGTTTTATGTTGTTTCGTATCTCAGTTTATTATAATACACCTATTTTGACGAGTTTTCCAAGCTTCTATTATCATTTACAAAAATTTTTAAAATATTAAAGGCAGTCTACAATACCAGTGAATTTCTGTCTCCAAAAATCCGCAACGCAACTGAGTTTTACTCTATACATTATGGAGCACAAATTTAGGTGATGGAACAAATTCAAATTTCAATGAAATATAGTGGGATAGATAAATACTACATACAATATTGGAACTTTTTCTACACTGAGCATTTATGTCAAGTATTTTTCTACTAATGCAATAAGCGTATACCCTGTTCACACGTCATGCTGAACAACTCTACATCGGATTTCTGTAGTCTTTACCATTCATCTAATGCCAAGAGCGCTCTCTTGCAGTTCTTAATGTCATCTTTCGAATCCTATTTCGGTCCTGCCTTTATTCTCTGCAAAAAATATTTACCATTTCGATGAAGAAGTTTCATCATACATCTTTCATGGATTACTATAAAGGTGACCGCTGTCTTTGATCTGACTTTGCTAACTAGAATGGTTGTTTCCATGGTGGATGTCTGCGTCACTCTGCCTCATTCCATGCCAGAATTGTGAATGTTTATATTTTATTTCAAAGCGAGAATCACCTATTGGAACAGCCGAAATGTTTTACAAATTATATGAATGGACACAACGCCTAACGGTCGAACGCTGTTTACCATGAAAACCGAGGTGTATCAGAATATATTATTCTTGAGTGCGCTTATGAGCAGGATACCACACTTGAGTTTGAGGTGCCCGTATATCAGAATTCGACTCGCTTGAACAGAGGCCTACACCCAAGGATTTGTACCCTACCCGTTTTTTAGAAGCATCTCTACGACCATGTGGTTACTCCCGCAGCAGACATGTTATAATTATGTTAATTTGACACTATTATATATACCAATTTTTGTGACAGCTCAAGTGGATCAGTCGTTGGGAGATGAACGTGAATGACTATGTTTGTCCCAAACGCGACCACAAGTCAACACCTGGTTTGTACAGTAATTTCATTAGCGGCGTAGCTACGGTTAGGCAAATTTTGGCTGCTGAATATTACTATTAAACCACAAATAAATACATAGAGCCGTGGCCCCCAGAAGAATGGGGATGGTGCAATACTGCGGTACTACCAGGTGTCAGATTTCCATCTGTTCAACACTACAGCAGTATCAGTGTAAAGTAAGAAATGATTTTTCTTTTTTTACAGTGCTTTTTAGTCCTAAAGAATCCGGTATCATTAATTTTAAAATCATCAGAATATTACTGCACTTAAGTTATTCGCTCGTCACGCGAGCTCTAAACTAGGCACAGCATAATTCTTCGGTATGATCATATCAGAGTGGACAGGTAAGCGGTACGATGATGCTGTGTCGATGCGAGCCCCTCCTATGAGTGCAATTTACCTTTACGTACCTGATCGCTGACGTCATGGCCATGTTGTTGTTGCTGTTGAAAGGATGCATATTGCTCATTTTTTTGTTTCAAATTAGTCATCACCTGACGAACAGTGGGTGTGAACACAAATGTTATAGAAATTCTGAGTTATTGATTGACAATTTACTGCTTAAGTAGAATCCTCGCTCTGCCTTGCAATCAGCCTTCGCAATAATGGGAGACAAAATAGCTAAACTTCAAACATTACTACATCGGTGTTCATGAGAAATTTCATAACTGCCAATCTGGTTGAAAATAATGAATCCATGTACGCTGGAAAGTCAGGCTGGTGACTTGGCGCTAAAATCTGGACTGTATAAGAAACGGACTTAACGGGAAAGAACAGACAGAGTTTAATAACTGAGATCAGAATCATCATGAGGAGAGTTCCAGCGTTATTAGTTTCAATGTCATTCAGCAAATCTCTGCTGAAAATGGAATAAATAACAACACAACCAAGATCCATATTTGTCGTGGCAGTTTTTAATAGGGATTTTAAACGATTGTTGTAACAAGATCAATGTCGCCTACCAACTGAACCGCGGCTGTCACTTCCCAACCACTGGATGCTTATGACTCCTAGTCAGGAGTTAACATTAAAGCGGCTAAAAGAGAACAAGCCCCACAATCGTTTCACACTTTACCACACTGAGCAATTTACTGCTTTAGTCGTTTCCGCTTCCTGCGACAACGACGAGGGGTAGATTTTACTGAGCGTTAACCCATACTCGTTTTCATGAGTTGAACTGTGCTTAGAGCATGGTCTATAAAACAGAAACTCTGCATGACATGCGGCTGCCGGGTCAGACGAATTGCTTCGCTATTGCATCGCTAGCAGGCCCGTCATCACACCGACCACGGTTGTAACTTTAGTGCAGTGCAGGGACAAGTTTGCAATGTACTCCGCGAATGATCACTAACAACAGTGCTGTTCTCCAGCGCCAAACGTATGCTTTTAACATACAAAGGGCTGGGTTTTCTTTTCTGATAGAATGCGTCGAATGAGATCAGTTTTCTGCGAAAGTCTCAGCCGTAGGATAAAAGACCTGGCCTGAAATATCATATTTCCAATGTGCAATAACACAATCAGTTTTCGCTTGGTGAAGCAGTTTCGAGTTCGATGGTTTTATGGAAATTTAAAAATCGCAACTGCCTTCACACACGTTGCAAAAGTGAAATGATTACGTATTCCATTGGGGCCTCTTACATGCCCGGCAAATGATTGCAGTAGAAAGTTGCGACTAACATCCATTTTACCAGTGCTGAAATGACACTAAAAACAAGTAGGGCATGGGGGAGGGGTAACAGCAATTTATTGGCTCAACGCCGACATGACTTTTCTGCCATCGCTTTTACTCATCTTTCTCATATTTATTCTGGCATTCATAATTCTGTTCTGGTTGTTTTCTGTTTATTTCACCTTTCGTTTTTGATTTAAAAACTTGCAAATGATCAGAGCAATGTCCCGTTGCTGTCAGACGCAAAATGATCATTCTCCAAAATTCCGCTAACTCGACGATTCAATAACGATATGTTCCTCACACTTACGGTTGGTGATCATACTCGTTGGAGAAGGATATATTGCATGGGAGCCATGGAGTTTTAAAGTGCATCAGCAACCTGTTCCTCTTATTTACAGCTGACAAAATTTTGTACGCTAGTAATTGGTGAGCAGTAGAAACAAGAACTATTCTGTTTTGTGTGAATACTATTCATTTCAACATTACAATTGGTGTTCTACCTTCAATGAAGCTCAAAAACACACATGCGCAGTAAGCAGTTGTTTGGATATGAATCGACTCATCGCCGTTCATTAACAATCGTCACTAATTGACCTATTCGATAACTTATGGCTAACGAAGGAAACATTGATAGTAAAGTGATTCTGCACAAAGGAGTGGTGTCAGCGAAACTATGGAAGCTGCAGTGTGAATGCAAAGAAAGAAAAATGGTCAGTGAGACAAAACGGTGGAAGTGAACAGCTTGACCAGCAGTTCATGACAAATATTCATACCGTCATGAATACAACTGCTTCAATATATTAAGTCAGGTGTTTTGTTTTTATAATTGTACGTGATGGTAACATACTTTCATTAA